AAGTTCATCATTTCCTGAAAAACTGCTGGAGCATTACACAATCCAAATGGACAACGAAGATACTCCAAATGGCCTTCAGATGCAGCAAATGGTGTATATTGAACAGAATTTTCCTCTATAGGCATGCAGCTAAATCTAACAAGGTAAAATATTTACAATTTGGAAGATTATCAATTATTTTCTCTATGATTGGCAACATTGACGGTTTCTTTTTTGTGATTTCATTAACTTGATGAAAATCAATAACCAAACGTTTTGTTCCATCCTTTTTATCAATTAAAATGAGGGACTAGCATATGCAGAGCTACTTTTTCGAATGATATTAGCTTCTAGAAGTTCGTTTATTAAATTCCTGAAATTTGTCTTGTCTGCCTCGGGTACTCTATAGGGTCTATGTTTTACAACAACATTACTTGTTATTTCAATCCTCATATTAATTGTTTGCGTAGTTTTAGGTTTTTCAAGGACCGGAAAAAACATTCCTCATATCGGTTTAATATTTTCACTAATTCATCATGTTTTTTTTGAGTCAAATTTGCAGTTGTGATGTTCTTAGAAGATTCTTTTTTGTATTGAAATGTCAAACTATTATCTATCCTATAATATACAATATCCAAATTTTCAGTGAAGTTTCTACCAATTAAAAGCTCAGTTTTCCAATTGTTCAAAATATATAATTTTATTGGAAGCTCCACAGAATCAATTTTTACATTAGCCTCTACATATTCTCCAATAACTGAAGAATTTCCCAAAAATCCAGAAATTTTGACGTTTTTATTCAAAGATTTAATTGAATAATTAATTGAATAATGAACAATGGCAGACAAATGGTCTAAGGCCCAAGCTTCTTCTCTAGTCTAACATTCTCTTACCCTTCGGTATCTTTTCGTGTGGCGGGGCGTCTTCGTTCGCCCCTACTTGACAGCGCATACATGATTGCAACATTTACTTTTCTTTAGTTAACGTTTTAAAAAGTTAAGATTTGAAGAAATAATATTTCAAATAGGTAGTTTTCCTAAAACATCTTCGGATACGAACCCCATTTAATTTTCATCTATAAATTTACTGGTCGAGTTATAGCGTTATAAAAAAGTTACGTCGTAACCATTCAGCATTTGCTCACAAACTTTAGCAACATATGTCGAAAGTTTATAGCAGTTGTCCCAAAATTTTTGACTATCATATTATAGCCTCCCTCTGAAACCTCACTGGATATCTCATTGTATTCGTCAAAATTCTCTGGTGGATCTGAATTTATATTATCTTCGCTAGAAGAAGAACTAGATTCCAAACTTCGTTTCGTTACTGCTTGTCTTTTGGTTTCAAACACTTTTATTTGTTTATTTTTCTTTTCTTCACGATTTTTATCCTCTTCTTCTAGACTTTCTTTGACGGGAGTGTTGGTAAGTTTCAACGATTTTCCTTTCTTACACCTAGTTGTCATTTTTCTAGGAGCGCCTTTGGAGAGGGACGAATTTGTTCAGGTGTTATAAGTTATGAAGCTCCAGTATAAGTTTCAGTGTTTCGTTTGAAGGACCAGGTGTTGGTTCTATTGTCATTGTTAACGGGTTGGCAGGTTTTTCTTCAGTTTGGAGTTGGGATAATTGACTTTGTTCGGGGTTTGGTCTGTCTGTCACATACGATGATAAAAAAGCCTCTTCAGGAAAAACGTCGGAATTAAATGGATCTATGCCAGTGGCCCTGAATCCACTGCAAATATTTTTCGGAGTAAAAGTTTGTAGCAAAGCTTCTCCGACTTCATATATCGTAATCGTCTTACTAGGATGATTGACCATCCACCTGTCACAAGCAGCATTTTAAAACTCCTTAAACTGCAATGTCTAGAGGCTGCAGTTTGAGGCTACAGTGTGAGGGCAAAGTTAGGAGAATTACCATTGTTTTTTTTTTTCGCGAAATTGAGTGCAGCAATACTCAAATGGCTTTTGTGGTTATCAACTTCGGGTGTTGTTTGGACGGTCTTTCATGCTGAGCAAAGTGCTGTAAAACAGGTAGAAATAAAGTGCTGTTCATCCATCCAGATGGAGTAGCGGCGCCTTTTGTTCCAGGTGGAGTTCCGTGCAACAAATGGAAACGAGAGAATATAAAGAACGGCCAATCAAGTGTCACTCCCAGGAATTTGACCTCGGCGGCAATACTTAGTTCGGTGTTCAAGAGTCTAGGTGCTGTAGGAAGTACCAGTTTCCTCTTTCTTGTGAATAGGACCATTTCAGTCTTTTTGGGGTTGCTGGACACAGTGTATTCTGTGCACCATCTTTCTATAATTCGAAGAGCATGTTGCATTCGTTCGCAGAGCGAGTTCTCGAATTTACCGCACTACACAATAGGTAGCTTACGCAGATGACAAGCTCTGCTTGTCATCTGCGTAAGCTATCTATTGTGTAGTGGTTGTCATTGTTTAGGCAGACAATGAGGCTGTCCAGAACCATGTTCCACAGGAAAGGTGATAGCACGCCTCCCTGCGGGCAGCCTCTTATGACCATTCCTTTAATGTTGACGTCCTGCACACTTATTTGTACAATTCTTTTGGAAAGCATATTGAATATCCATCCGGCAATAGTTTCCGGAGTATTCCTTTCTCTTAGCGAGTGGGTTTGTCAAAGGCCCCCCCTCCTCCCCCCCAATGTCGATGAAAACCCCGAGGGCGGACTCTTTGTTGTCCAGCGCTTTTTCCACTCGTCCAGCATCCAGGTGGAAGGCTATGTCCGTTGATCTCCCGGGGGTGTATGCATGTTGATTAGGGTGAAGTGGATGGGTTATGTACTTATGGCTTATGTACCCTTCGCATAGCCTCTTCATTTTTTTTTTGAGAAAATGAATAGAGGCTTATGGGGCGATATGCCTTGGAAGTGGTGTAGACCATCCTCCCTGGTTTGGGTAGGAACACCACTTTAACTTTTCTCCAAGCTTTGGGTATATATCTCAGCATCAAGGACGTCCTGAACATCCCTACCAGGTACGGCAAGAGTGGCTTCAGACCCGACTGAATTAGGTCTGGATAGATTCCGTCAGGTCCTGGTGCTTTGAAGGCGGAGAAGCCTGAAATTGCCCAGCCAATTTTTTCCTCGTATATTATCTAATTCACTAGTTGCCATTCAGCCACAGAGGGTATTTATGTTACTTGCATCTGATCCTTTACAATTGTAGTTTTGGAGTCAGGAAAGTGAGTTGCTAGTAGTAACTCTGTGCTTTCTTGAAGGTTGACAGTGAAGGTGTCATCTTCCTTGCACAGGATACCAACTTCCCGAAATGGGTCTTTATTACGAGCTTTCTGAAGTCTCGCCGCTTCCGTATAGTTTTCTATTCCGTTGCAGTATGTCCTCCAGGCATCTCTTTGTTTTTGTCGTATGGCTTTTCTATACTGGTTGAGTTGGTATCTATAAAGGTTTCAATCCTCAGGTAGTTTGGTGTTTATAGCTTTATTGTAAGCTTTCCTTGTCGTTGCCGTGAAATGTTCCAGTTCCTAACACCACCAAGCAGAGATGCTACTAGAGTTTTGGAACATCCTTAGTGGGCTCGACATCTTATAGGATTTTATGATGGCACCTTGGATAGTATTGGCATACCGCTTCAATTATTGGGTTTCATTGGGTGTTTTAACTGTAACCTCTCGTAGAACCCTTTTCAGACCTTGCAAGTACTGTGCAATGTTAGTTTTTCTTGGGTCACAATGAGGTTTTGTGGTTTTAGGCGAGCAGTTCAAGGTGACAATTATCCATCGGTGACCCGACATAGATACTTCATCAGATACGCGCCAATTATGGATTGAATTTAATATTAATACTGGGCATAATGTTATATAATATCTATTAGAGTTTTACAACGAAAGTTTAAGAATGTTGGCATTGTGCCGCTATTGCATATGAACAGATCATTACCTGTTACAGATTTAACTCTTGAATTTATATCCTGACTTTCCCAGTTGATGTGGTGCGAGTTGGAGTCACACCAAATCACCAGCTCCAGATCGTAGGTGTGGCAGTGCCTATCCAGATCTACAAGGGGGTGGTATTTGATACTTGAAGATTCCTGTTTCGTGTCGTCACTATTGAACTTCGAATTCATTATTTCTTCTTTCTCCTGAATGTGTGAAGAACTGTGATTTCGTCCAGCCAATTTAAAAATGCTGATCAAATCTGACATCATAACCTATGAATGTTTAGAAATCTGTATCTGTTAGAACAATCACCCATCATGTAACATTTTTACAATTGATCTAATTTCAGGTGCCAGGAAGATCTACCTAAGTAGTCGTTGTCTTTTTGACTAATTAATTAAGCAGTCACAGAATTTTTGCTATACATACCTAAAATTATTATTATTTGCATATGGAAATATGTATAAATCTTATGATAAAAACTTGAATATAATTACAACAGCCACAACAAACAATTCAAGTACATATGTCGCTATATTGTTCAGCAGGTACCTTGTTATCGATGGCTATTACTATGACCACTGGTGTCATAAATTTTATTTTATCACGCAAAATAATATGCACTATAACTATAATACACTGCAGGTTTTGCAACATTTTTATGACAATTTTTATATAAACGACATGAAATCCAATTTTGTAGCTGGTATATCTACTATCGACTACAATGTTTCTTGCTGTACTTACTATAAATATTACAAAATCATGTTGTAATTCTTTCATTTATACAATTCTGAAAGCTGTCTAATTAGCATTTTGTATATATTCAACATTCAAACCAAACAAATATATATTTTATGAAACATACTTAAATAAAATATTACCCTACCAAATTTATCTAAATAGCAAATGAAAAATGGTTATTTTTCCACCTGAAAAATCATATTGTAAATTTGGCATTCACACTCATATAGCTACAGTTTTGTAACAATAAGGTCTATTATCATTACAAAATCTCCAAGCTAAATTAATCAAATAAATAGTTTTTCGACTAGATTAGGTTCAAAATCACGGGAATATAAATTTCAAAGCAAAACACACAGTTGTTACATTATGTTCATGCAATTATTTATCTTTCTACAACGCTAATTATTCACCGATAACTGATAGATAATACCTATTAATGCGACAGATAACACATACAGAATTGTCGTTTATCATATCAGTCAGTTGAATTGTGTACCTGAAATATTTTAGTTCGATCAGTTTCCGTCTGAAGAAGAAGAAGAAATTATGGCTGAAGTTTCAACGAACGTTAAGGATTTAATTTTCGCCTACGAGCGTCAAACAAGCTCTACTGAATCACTTGAACATTACGAGGGCCGACGACGTGCCAAATCGATAGGTAACGCCTTATCATATAAATTATTTCGTCAATCGAATTTGGAAATTCACCACCTGATAGATATTGAAAAGGAGTTAGTCAAAATTGAAGCGCACTTAAACTATTATGAGGTTTACGAAAAGGAAACTCAAGTAGCTTTCCAAGAGCAGCTGCTTAATGTTTTAACATTTATTGTGAATATTGATCCAGAAGGAGATGAAAACTATAAACAGAAAAAGAAGGACTTAATAGCGGAAACTCAAAAACTATTCAGAATTCTTACTTCAAAATTGCCAGTGTATAGAGTCCAATCTTACCGATCCATCCACAGAACTGCTTCAAGACGAGAAGAAGCTATAGTTTCCAGTACTTCAGCACGTCGTGGAATTGCCTCTAGTCAAGCTTTCAAATCAGAAGAATCCTTAGATTATTCTAACAAAGACTCATCATCATCTGTGGATTTAAACACTACAGAAGAAAAATCTCAAGCTGCTACATCACCTCAAATTACTGTTACCAGTGAAACTAGCTTTATACCATCGGTTTCAAAGTTAAAAAAGTTTTTTTCATTCAGGAAGGATGATTTAAAAGTGACTCCTAATTCAGGAGTTAGTAGATCGCAATCTTTAAATACTAAAGCAAATAAATATACTGTTTTCAAAAAGAGAGAAGAGACTTTAAAAGAAAATGATGTAGAAGGAGAGTTTGAAAAGCATGAAGTACTTGGTTCAACGCATAATAATACTAACGATGAAAATTTGTATGTAGAACCTGTGCAAGAGTATAAAGAAATAGAAAGCGAGCACGCGCAGAGTGTTTCAGTTTCAAAATTGAAGAGCTTGTTTGAGGTGAAACAACAAGAAACTGAAGAAGGTAAGAGTTTTTTTTTGTTACTTAACATTAGCTTCAAGTATTTTTCAAGACCTAAAAATGAACAATGATTCCAGGTTTAGGGTCACTAACAAATAAACAACCCAATGAGTTTCACTCCGATTTTAATCTCCCTTACACTGAGGCGAACTTGGGAGCATTTAGGCTAAAACGAACTATTTCAGGGCATTACATGAACTTCACCGGACTGCTGAGGAATATCGATGTACAAAAGAAACCCGATCTCAATAAAAGCAAGAGCTTGTCAGATTTGAAGCATTACAAATTGAAGGATGATTTGAGTAAAGAGGTTGATGATGATGCTGATGGTTTTGAACGTGTTGGAAAGGAGGATGATGAGTTGGACAATAATGAGCTACATGGAGCAAGTAAGAGTTATTAATGTTTGATGATCTAAGTAGGTATTTAACTTTGAGTTTTTTTCAAGGTTTTGGGCAACAAATTTCCGAAGAAATAGCAATTCAATCCAAGGAAACTTTTGTTATTGGAAATGTGAAAACTTTGAAGAAAACCTTTGGTGAGTTAAGGATACATGAAACTCCTAGATACTAATATTTGTTTTACAGAAAATCATAATTCGTCTGAATTAGTGAATGGAAATAAAGAAATCCATAGGATAATTGAACCAATTCAACATCAAACTGATGGAGAGCCTGTTTTGAAAGTACCAATACAACTTAGAACTGGATTTGGACATTCCAATCAGGTTGTTGGTAAGTATTTATGGAACAAACTAGACATTTTGTTTGGTAATCCTACAATAGTCGTGTGGTAATTGAATTCCCATCCTAAAGATCTATTTTTATTTTTTTTTATAGAAAATGATCCGAATGCTGACAATCCCAATGCTGATATTAAACATATACTCCATAGAACCATTGATCCCATTCCAAATCCGGACAGAAGGTTGCAGGAGCCTGTTCTCAAGGTACCCATTCAATTGAGGACTGGATTTTCTCATACTAGCCATAGTGAGGAGGAAGTTATAGGTAAGATAATTCAATATGACTCAAATTAAATTAATAATATTTGTTGAAGAACATAAAAATGGTTTCATTGAGGAACCTATATTGAAAATTCCTGTGCAATTGAGAGGAATGGGAAATCTCGAAGGTAAGATTATTGGAACTCAGTTATTGTTGACTTTAGAAGTCTTATCGTAGATCATGCAATAACTCAAAGCAATGACAAATTGGTAGAAGAAACTGTGACCTCTGGTACAGTGGAAGCTTTGAAGCAAACATTTGGTAGGTGTGTGTTTTCCGGAACAAAAATTTATAAGAAAAAGTTTCAACTTTTCAGAATCCCGCAGATTATCACTTGAAAATTCAACTCGTTCTGAAAAACCCGAGCTAAGAATATCTGAAATGGTTGCTGATTTTGTACATGTTAGCCGTTCAGAAAAGGAAATTGGTGAGTATGAATTTAATATTACTTCCCAATTACTTTCTTGAATCACTCCAGAAAATGGAACTGTAATATTGCATATTACCATTGAGCCAAGTGTCGAAGAACCAGTTGAAGTACCAACGCAAATAAATAATGATTTCGTGACTGGAACAGTAGAAGCTCTTAAACAAACATTTGGTAATTTCCTAAAACTCATATGAATTACAAAAATGAAATAATTAAATTCTAGAACATCTCAGTACCAAAACAGAAGAGAACAGTGAAGAACCTGTATTAAAACTTCCAATACAACTTAGAAGATTTGAAATTGACAGTCACCATGCAGAAGAAGACGTTGGCATTTTTGGCATTTCAGAAACAATAAATAATAAAGAAGAAACTGGTAGTTTGAACAATTCAGAAAGTATTACTGATACCGAAAATAAAGTAGAAGAACTAAATATCTCTACTGGTACAGTAGAGGTTTTAAAACGAACTTTTGGTAACTTATTTGCTTCAAATTAAAAAAAAAATTCTTCATTTAAAAAATTTTAGAACATCTTGGTACCACGCATGAGGCAAACAGTGAATATATTTTGAATAGAAGTTTTGAATCTTCTGGGAATTCCAATGAAGAAGCTCCAAGCATTGAGAATAATTCATTTGGTACAATAAAACTATGATTGATTTAAATTATTTGGTAACTCTTAAACGGTTTCTAGAATACCAAGTGACAGGGCCTTCTGAAGAAAATTCATTTGTAGAGCAGGAAATCAATGGTGGAGTTATGACTATTTTGGAATCTCCAACTATGGCTTATTCAACTTTACTTTCAAGTAAGAATTATGTGTATTATTTGTTGAAATATATATTTTTTTATTAATAAATTAGGTCAAAGTCAACAAGTAAGCAGCTCTTCTAAAACATCAGTTTCCTATTCTCAAAAAACTAGTGTTCAACGTAGTAAGTCTGACTTGGAGTAGGTATTTGGGATACTGATGAAGAATAAAATATTTTTTCCAGCTTCTTCTAGCTACTTTTCCCAAAAAAGTGAAGTATCATCATCCTCTTCCAGCTCTAGACTTTCAAGTCAAAAATATTTTGAGGTCTTAAAGAATTCCAGTAGTAAGTTTATATGCTTTATGCATATTTTATATTATCTCCAAGACACTTTTTCGCAATCACACTGTCTCATACACTACTTGGAAACTTGAAAAATAATACTTCATATAAACTACTCAAAACGAAATAAGGACCACTTCTAAGAGCATCTTGGTTTTTAATAAATTTTGAATAACCCTGGTAGAGTGATTATTTCGATTCACAATATAGATAAAAAAATAAAGTGTGCACAAAAAATTTATATTGTGAATGGAAATAAACACTTTACCAGGGTCATTCAAAATTCAATAAAAATAAACGTGTTTTTAAAAGTGGTCCTTATTTAGTTTTGACTGGTATACATGCAGGACCAGTCTACTAGACATATTGAAATTCCTCCATCTTCGGCAGCTCGGCTATACTCCACTAAACCGGGTACAAACTAATTCGTCTTACTACTCTCTAGCTGCTTATTGGAAACTATGATCAGGTCAACCCGATCACAAGGATCACCAATCTTGACGTACGGAAAGGGATCTAGGATCAGTTCACTCTTGTATGGAAAGTGATCGGGTTGAAAATATGTTTGGATCTCATCGACCCTGATAAAATGCAGAGTAAATAGGATTGGCAGCCGTCAGCTGTTTTTCTTACCCCAACTTTTCAGTTGTTTGTTGATTGTTTTGCCTTCAAAATAAATGTGGCAAACATCTTCAACAGCAAGAAGCCAAAAAAATGGAAATTTGAGAACTTGAGATTAAAATTAAAATCGGAAAATCGAAATAATATTGGTGTCATTTGTAAGATTCATCTGCGGATCCATCTGTTCGGGAACTGAACTAGCTCCACTTTTTTTTATAGTAGGGATTTGAAATACGTTATGCACACCCAGGGCATTGGTGTTCGGGCGCCCCGGATGGTGTGGGACTCTCACCTACCAAAACCCTTCCCCTACTGCTCTGCCTCCCTTCCTGGAATCGCTCTCGCATTACTTCGGGGAGGGAGGTTGTGTAGTTTGCACCTGCTCGCAGCTCTAAAAGGCCTTCTGCATACTGCTTTCATCCTCTCCTTAAATCTTTAGGATGGATTCTACCATGATTCGGACTTGCTCCCAATTCGCTTGGCTCTTTAGCATTTCTCGGTGTTCTCTGGAGTGAGAATTGTTCCGATGGAGTTGAAACACTTTTCCCTTTGCTCCATCCACCGCCTGGACCAGGAGGTCTATAGGAGGCAATTCCGTGATAACTAGCAGAGCGTCTGTTGAAACAGTACGCTAGCTGCTGGTGATTCGGCTTGCGGCCTGTCTCTGTACCCTCTCATAGATCGCCCGATTGTTATCCGTCGACATTGCGGATCCCCACACTAGAGCAGCGTACAGCAGGATAGATCTCCCCACTGAGCACAGCAATCTTCTCTTGCATGCCCTTGGGCCCCCAATGTTGGGCATCAGCCTCCCCAGGGCCATCATCGCGCTGCTGTCTCGTGTCGCTGTTTTCTGTAGGTGAGTCCGGAATTTAGTTTAGAGTTCATCCATACCCCTAAATATTTTATCTCCGTTCTGGGGACAATCTCCATATCCAGAATTTGGAAGGTGGTATGAGGTACTTTGAGGAAACAATGACAGCTTCCGTTTTCTCTTTCGCTAGAATCAGCTGTTTGCTGGTCATCCATTTCTGAATCCGCGTCATGGCCACTGTGATTTTAGTTCCAATCTCCTTCAGATCTTTGCTTAGAGCGATAACAGCGACGTCGTCAGCGAACCCCGTTAGCTTAACCCCTGCAGGGAGGTTGATGTTCAGAAAACCGTCATAAAAGATGTTCCATAAAGTGGGGCCAAGAATAGAGCCCTGTGGAACCCCACACGTCATCTGAAAGTTCTCTATTTTCCCCTCTGCCTTTATAATGATTTCTCTGGATGTCAGTTAACTCTGGATGAGTTAAGCCAAGTATGGGGCTGCACCTCTCCTTTCGATTTCATCCACAATCTCTTTCCATGGGGCCGAGTTGAAAGCGTTCCTGATATCAAGTGTAACAATGATCCCCACCTTCCTGTGCCTATGGCTTCGTTTGTATATACCTTCCCTTAGAAATTCTAGCACACTTTGAACGGCCATTATGGTTGATTTGCCCTTTCTGAAACCAAACTGTCTGGCTGAGAGAGTCTCGCCGAGATCCAAGTCCTGAGAATAATATGCACCAAGAGCTTGCTTACACTATCTGATCCTGTTGAAGGGTGTGATTTCTTTATGGTTTGGTTCCGAGATGGATAGAATGTCGATGTTCCTTTCCCTTGCGGTTGTTTCTGCTAAATTGTGTGCTGCGTGGCAGCGATTGAGATTTACCCGCATTATTTCAATGAAGGAGGATGGGGTGTTAGGCCTGTATTGATCTTCCTTGGAGGTCCTGTGGTTTCTGGGAATGTAAACACTATTGTCCATTTAGCTTGTAGGTCTCCACCAGCTTTCTCCTATGTTGTTCGATTAGTTCTCGGAGCTTGGGACACCCTGCGTTGTCCATTCTGTTCCCTTTTTCATTACAGCTAAGGCATTGTGGTTCCTGAGAGCATAGCTTAGCCTGGTGTCCTGTGCTGCCGCAGTTCATGCAGTTCTTGGATCTATCTGAGCCCTTGCAGTCTACGGTCCAATGCCCAAAGCCTAGGCATTTGTAACAGCGTGTTCGTTGGACCTTGAGTTTTACTTTACAGGTGGACCATCCTATTTTAATTTTGCTAAGGTTTAGAAGTTTACCGCCGAAGCCTTGTTGCGCGGCGACCGTGGCGGATTGATTTCCGCTTTTGCTGGTGTTCATCGCTCTAACCTCCAGATTTTTCCGATCAATGCCGGTTACCCTAGCAATAGTCTACTACTTCCTCGCTGGTAGTATCTCCGTCTATGTCTAGTATGGAAAAAATTTGCTCTCTAGATTTGACCTCAACTTTAGTGCCAGTCATATTTTTCTGGATCTCGTCTTCCAGTGAGTCTGCGTCCTGTTTACTCCCGTCTACTTTAAGACATAGGGAGTCGTCCCCAGTCTTTCTTAGGGAGGATATCTTGATGCATAGAACTAGCTCTACCTAGATAATTCACTAATCCTTGAACAACTGATACTGATCGAACTGATCCTAGATCAGTGTTTCCGTAAGCAACTCCTATATGTGTCTAGTAGGTTGGCCAGTCTGTATACAAACCAAAATAACACGGTTATGTTAATTCGTGGGTTGAAATCATTTTAATTAAAATTGTCTTCCTAACAGGTCCTAGAGAAGAGAGCACAGTCACCATTACAGAAGTTGAAGACCAAGAAACCCCAAAATATAATTTGAACATAAGCCAAGAAAATCTAATTGACGAAATACTCAAAGAAACCGACTTGTACAAAAATGTTGATGAGGAGTTTGAAAAATTGCTCGATAATACGAATTAAGACTCCCATTTTTAATTTTAGTTTAAAAAGCATTATTGTTATATAATTTATTCATTCTATTGTATTATTTTTTTTTGTGAGTAAAATTTATCAAGTAAATAATTATTGTTTATAAAAAGCATTATTTTTCTTTGTATTCGTTTATTTGGTTATACCTATACCATCAGAGTTTGAACAGCCATCGAAGCCTTTTTTTTACACTCCATAAAAAAGTGGGGGCCCCAAACCAAACATCCCTAAGAGAAAATAAACTGAGTTTAGTATGAAAAGGACAAAAGGAAAAGCAAGATGTAAAGTGGGAAATGTTTGATGTAGGACGTGTGGAAGTCCCATATATGGCATAAATGAAAAGAATAATATTTAAATGTTATAGAGAATATTTTTTTTCTGCTGGAGGGCAAAATTGCTCTTGTTCAGCAAAAACCCCCTTTGTTTTCTAAGCCTTTTGGTATAAAATTGAATTTTTGCAGCTCCTTCCTTATGACATAAGTCATTTTTACAAGAAATGCGCATAATAAAAAACAAATTTTGAAAACCTGAACAAGCTTTCTCCGACTCCAATAATTTATTACGGCCTGGCTTTACTGACATTAAAGGACCACGAGATGTCCTTTTTCAGACTTTCTAAAGAATTTTTTATTGTTTCTTTATGGTAATTGAAATCAGCGAATGCAAATACGGGGAAAAAGAACATCATTAGTTTCTTAAAACAAATCACTCATTAGTTTTGTCTTTCTTCTTATCATACTTTAATAGCAGCTTATACCGAGGGGGGTTTCGATTGCAAAATTGTGTACACCAAACTGCCTTCCTACTTCAAGTTTATTCCTAGTTATCTCTGGTTCATTTCAATTAACAGTCATTTAAATTAGATTTCTCTATCTATACTAAGCACAAAAATATTCAAAGTCAATTCACTCAAGGTAATAATATTTATGCAATAAAGTTTCATAGTCAATTCACTTCATAGTCATTTCAACATAGATAAGGTCACAATAAAACTTGTCACTTACATTCAAATTATCGCCCTTGAAGTCACTTAATTATTCTAATTATTACTTACTTCAAAATAGCTAGAGCACGCACATAAAAACTAAAACGTTTATTTCTTTTCTCAGTTCGAGTTATTTACTGTAATTTTCACATTTCCGAGGCCCGACTTTCTATACTTGAGATAATTCGCCACTTCTGAATACTACTAATTATTGAGTGTAATTCTCGATAATTGATTAATGATTTAGAGCTCGCACATAATGTTGAACGAATTTAAATGTTTTTTCTTTCACAATTTTCCTTACTTTTTCAAAGATTCAATTTAACGCGTTTTCCCGAGGCAACAAAGTAAAATAAACTCTTCGCAAATTTCATCCGCACTGACTCATTAGGTACTGTAGACTTAAACTCAGGACTGAACTAAAGAATCAACTGGACTTAAATTGCTTCCAAAATTCCGAAACCGCTGTTTTTAGATTTTTCATTCCCCCCAAAATATTTCAGGGCCACTTTACACAAAACTGGCCATTGATCGTTTTTCTTTTCTAGGAAATATAATTTATTTGTTTAAAACCGAATAGTGGATTATCGGGGTCAACAGATTTGTTGTAAGAATGTGAGGACGAATAACTCAAAGGATGCCGAATAACTCGTGTCGGCCGTAAATCACCAATTCCATTACTTTAACCTTGATTTTAATATTTTTATGGATTTGATTTATGTGATGACACACGCTTGGTGACTAACTAATAAAATTTGAACGTATATAAATATTTTAATTAATTTGGATCAATGTTAATTTATTTAATCAGCTTTCAAGTTATTGACACTGATTTGAAATACTGGAGATTCAATTTTTGATTATATTTAATATTTACTGTTATTATGTCATTACAATATATTTGCCTAATAGCGACCATATAACTGTTCAACGTTGCCAAATGTAATCTTCTAAGTTAGGCATGTTTGCATTATTATTCTTTGGTTATCCTTGGCCATGTATGTACACCAAAAATCCCCACTGAAATCCCTTCCAGTTTATACATTTTTAGTAAATCTGCAGTTTTTTTATTTTAATTCCAAATTCTCTCAAAATACCTAAAACTCGTAACTAGTTAGTAAATGATTTCTCTTATTTCTCTGACAACTAATTAATTATTAGAAGTTGTTCCAGTTGGGCCTCAACTAAGATTAAATTGCAGAACGAAGTTACTAATAGTTACTGTTAAAGTTTTTCCATTAAATTGTACACAACACTAATGGGATAAGCACGCACAACGAATAATAAAGGGGCAACAACTTCATCTGCCTGTTTAATTATCTTATTTCTTTGCGCTAGACCGCTTTTGAATGTTAACAAGCTGATGCCGTTTCATAAATTCGCGAAAATATAATACAATACTCCAGCCAGACGGCGAGAGAAGCTTCTTACCTTTTTGTTTGTCTTAAAATCATACCTACAATAATTTTAATTAATTTTCAAGTGGTCTTCCAAAGGAATCTTGAGAATTCCAGGCCAATTTCGCCGAATTATTGTATTAATCATAACTTTGTTCAGGTATTGTAATAATTAGAGCGAAATGCGAAGCCGCAACAGCTAAACAATGTCCAAGTTTAGAGAACCGAGCCCGTTTCTGTTTATATTTGTTCGAAAGCAACGAGATAATGTGTATTATTATGGCATACAATCATTCATTGTGCGCATCGGATGAAAACACATATACGTCGGAAATTGTTGAAATTGTAAATACCTATTTCGAGTGTTTATTAGATTGAATTAGAGTTCACTCCAAGCCATAGCGAATAATTTGAGTGCTCTGGAAATGAATACCAGCACATATTTTTCTCTGGCACGATCATCTGAGTTCAATTATTTGCCATGGAAAAAAGTTATTCACATATCATCAGCAGTGGTGGGTCTTTAGTCATTGACGATCGATGTAAGGCCTGGACTGACAGTCAATGTCTTCTAATTTGTGATTAGGTTGGGTCGAAAATGAGTGGGTCTATTACGGCCCTCCACTGTAACTTATTGGTCTATTGTGGCTCCAAGGACCTCCCATTTCAGATAAATATGTAAGGGGGGAATTTCTAGAAGAAGCTCCGCATGGCTGCTGTTGTAAAAGTGCTGAAAGCTCCTGTTATTGACAAACAGGCCTGTCTTTGTAGTCCGTTGAGTTTGGTTTGGGCAATGCGCTGTTGCCCCTTTTCCCACCAGACTACTGAGTCATATGTTATCATTGGTCTGATGACCATGATGTTATCATTAGTTTGATAATAGTATATTTGCGTGGATCGAATTCCCCATAATTTGCCACAGGTCCTGCGGCAGATCCATATTGAGTAGTTAACTTTCTGTTTTATTTTTGCCAGATAAAAGTTCCAGATACCTAAGCCTTTTGTCTAGAGTAACTCCTAGATATTTGACTGAGTGGGTTAAGGGATGATCAACTTTCCTTTTTGTTGTAAAGGGCACTACAGGTATTTTGTGAAGATTAATTATCATATTCTCACTCTTGCACTATGCAAGTATTGTGTCTATTATTTCCTGAAAGGTTTCGGATAGTCTACGTTCCGATTTTCTCCCTAATACAATGGCTTGTCGTCTGCGTAAGCCTACAGGTCGATCTTCCATAGATAATAAATAAATAAACAAATTTTAGTGACCCAGATAATTAGAAGCAGACACTGATACGCTGACGACAAATTATTTATAGAACTAGGTCACTATGCAAAAATCACAGACGGCGAGCAGTAGAAGATTCCGGATATAGTGGCGAAGGCGTTTCTAATTATACCATTTTTTGTTGGTTTTTCCACTTTCGACGGACGTACTACAAATCTGAGAGAAGGAACTCTTAATACGATCTATAGCAGTGGAAAATATGCAGAAAAGACAAGGGAAAGATAAGGGGCGTTTTGACGAAAGAGATAGAGAATTGGACTTTGAAGGTGGAGACAAAGTTAAGGTATTTATCCCAATCAAAAAGATTGGAAAAAGTGAAACGTTATTTTTAAGATGGTTTGGACCATATGAGGTACTTAGAAAACTTGGAGAAGTAAATTATGAAGTAGAAAAAATTAGTAGTAGAAAAAAGAATAAATATGCGGTCCACGTCAGTAGGGTGCTGCCCTTCAATGACACGTGGACAAAAGGTGCACCTATCGAAGAGTATAGTGAAGATGTAGAAGACGAAAATGAAGAAGACGGAGAAGAAGAAGAAGACGAAAAAGAAGAAGTAAGAGAAGAGGAAGAAAATGAGCAGTAGAAGAAAGTCGCCAAATGTATATTATAAAATACAGTTAAGGAGGGAGAGAAACAAAGCTTAGTATTAAATAAATTCTTCAGTCTTCAGTCACACCAACTGTACAGAGTGTACATAATACAGAGTGGCCTAAGTAGTTTATCCTCCGTAGAAGAGACGTCATGGTATTATTTCTAGGGTAATATATTTCTATTTATTCAATACATATCTTATTGTACCAATACCAAACGAGTTTCTCTCTACCTGAACCCTACCTACGCCCCCAGGTCAGGCTCCTGTTGTGACGTCCCAAAACGAAATGTATAGGGGTCGTGAAAATATTATTACCCTTGAACCATGCAAGTATTGTGCCTGTTATTGTGGCTTGTCGTCTGCGTAAGCCTACAGGTCGATCTCTCCAAGTTGGATTATGGCCAGCAGGTTGTCCACCAAGAGAGACCACAGAAGAGGACAGAGTACCCTTTTTTGCGAGCAGCCCTGAACTGTACTGTGGTATTCCATCAGCAAGTTCTTATACCCAATTGGGAAAAGCCCCTCTAACTAAGTCTCCTCCCAGTGCAAACTACCTTTATTGGGAAACGCCCTTCTGGACCTGTCTCAAATTCAGCTTCAGTCTTCAGTCACGCCAAGTATACAGAGTGTACATAATACAGAGTGGCATAAGTAGTACGTCCCTCCGTAGAAGAGACGTTATGGTATTATTTCTAGAGTAATATATTTCCATATATTCAATAGATATCTTATTGGACCAATGCCAAGCGAGTTTCTCTCTACCTAAACTCCACCTACGCCCCCAGGTCGCGCTCCTGTTGTGACTTCCCAACACGAAACGTATAACGGTTGTGACAATATTCTTACTCTT